CCTAAATTCTCCATCCTCCTACCTCCCTGACAGTGGGCTAATGGGCTTGCACCGGCATACCCATTTACCTAAGTGTCTGATTCACTTGAAGAAGCTAAGTGCCCCACCTCGGCTCCTTCCCTTCCTCTGTGAAGTTAGTTTTACTTCAAGATGGCTCCAACTCTTAAGTCACCACTCCTGTCATAAGTTTAGTCCTTCCTATGCCTAGCTATCTCAGAATTTTTCTCATTTGGACAGTCTTTGCCTGACTTATCAAGTGAAATTTTTATCTCTTCTTTCCCTTGTTATGTCCATGGCTATTGCCTCCATTTCTTCCTCCTTGCCTATTCTTGTGTTAACCCATGGACACTGGTTTTTCTACACCATGTCTTTTTTTTTTTTTTGGCGGGGGATGGGGAGAAATGTGCAGGTCTCACTATGTAGTCCTCACTGGCCTGGAACTCATTCTTTAGATCAGGATGGTCTTGAACCCACAGGAATCCACCTGCCTCTGCCTCCTGAGGAACACCCAGCAACCAATTATTTTTTGAATTTTCTTTTTTTTCTTAAAAAAAGTAAGATTACATTTCTTTTAGTTCTCTCTCTCTCTCTCTCTCTCTCTCTGTGTGTGTGTGTGTGTGTGTGTGTGTGTGTGTGTGTGTAGATGTACCACAGTATGAATGTGGAGGTCAGAGGACTACTTTGAGGCTGATGTCTCCTACCATGTGGGTCCCAGGGATCAAAGTCAGTTCATCAGATTTGGAAGCAATCACCTTCACCTGCTGGACCATCTCGCCAATCCTTTCCTTTGGCATCTATTTTTTGTTTTGTTTTCGGCAGTGGGGATTGAACCTAGGGCCTCATGCATGCTAGGCAAGTGTCCTACCACTGAGCTCCATCCCCAGCTCTGCTTTATTATGTGCCTCTTGAACTCTGTAGTGTGGACTTCCACTGTTCCTGAGTAGAGCCTTCCTCCACTGGCTGCTTCTTCTGCTGAGGAGAGTGAACATGCTTCAGAGGTCTGCCTTTAGCTTGTCTATGTTCAGACTTCATCCATTCCGGTAGCCTCTGTCCTCACACCCAGTCAGACAGCACTGACCCCTGACCTTTGAGCCTCATCTCTCCAGTCTCCCTTCTGTTCTAGCTTTCTGGCCAACTCTACCTTAAGTCCAACAGGTTGGAGAAAATGCTCACTTTTCACAATTATTCCTCTTCTTCCCCAGGCAGGTCCCTGGCTGCTTCCTTCTGCCATGATTTCCTTTAAATCCACCTCCTTCTTTGGACACTCTTCTGTAGCTCAGGCCATGAATTTACTATGTAGCCATGGCTGGCTTTGAACTCTGATCTTACTGCTTCTTCCTTCTGGATGCTAAGATTACAGGTGTGTTTCATTACTAGCTACAGTCCTTCCTTTCCATTTCTAAACCCTTAATCTAAGCTATCACCAACATTTGTTCATTCAGAATATTGTTTTAAAGATTTCTTTAAATTTTATAGCCGTGTGTGTTTGCCTTCTTGAGTTCATGTGCATTACAAGTATGCAAGAGCCCTCAGAGGCCAGGAGTGTTGGATCCCCATGAAGCTAGAGTCACAAGTAGTTGTGAGCCATCTATCTGCATAACATGGATGCTGGGAACTGAAATCATGTCCTCTGCAAGAGCAGTGACTGCTCTTAACTACCAAGCTGTCCCTCCAGCTACGATTCAGAATTTTTTTTTTTTTTTGGTTTTTCGAGACAGGGTTTCTCTGTGGCTTTGGAGGCTGTCCTGGAACTCGCTCTGTAGACTAGGCTGGCCTCGAACTCACAGAGATCCACCTGCCTCTGCCTCCCGAGTGCTGGGATTAAAGGCGTGCGCCACCAACGCCCGGCTATGATTCAGAATTTTTAATACCCACTATGTGCTCAGCTCTGGAGATATAAATGTGAATAGTAGAGGTAAGGAAAAATACATTCTAATACAAAAGGCAAATTAAAATTAGAAACCAATAATTATCTATATAATACATAACGACATGTTGTAGAATACACACACACACACACACACACACACACACAGATAGATGGGGGTAGCACATGCCTGTAATTCTAGCTTCCTTAGGAGGCTGAAGCAGAAGGATCACAAGTTTGAGGTCAGCTGGAACAATAATGTGAGTGTTTCAAAAAGGAAGAAAGAATGGAGTAAAAGAGCCGGGCAAGCTGGGTGTGCGGGAGTACTGGGGAGGTAGTGACAAGAAAGTCACCAGGGCTTGTTGGTCATGCAGTCTAACCTTATTATCAAGGAGCCTCTCCGAGGTCTCTCAGGATCCTAAGGACACCGGAGTTTGTCCTCTGGCCTATACATACACACACGTGTGTGCTCACTGTAGTGTGCACATGTACACACACAAAGTACATTAGTTACTTTTTAAATGTCTGGGTATACATGTGTTTGCCTGTGTGAGTTTATGTGCACCACATGTGTGCCAGAGTCCATGGAGAGCAGAAGAGGATGTCAGATCCCCTGGAACTGGAGCTAACCCAGGACCCCGTGTGGTGGCTCTTGCCTTTAATCCCAGCACTCCAAAGGCGGAGAGAGGCAAGTGCACCTCTGTGAGCTTAAAGCCAGTTTGATCTATCTAGTAAGTTCCAGGTAGCCAGGACTACATTGTGAGACCCTGTCTCAAAAAAGATAGATGTTAACAAAGCTAAAACATGGTAAGAAAAATAAAGCAAGGGAGTTAAGGGGCAAGCCAACAGTTTCCTTGTGCAGCAGGAACAGCAGAAGCCTCACGGAGACCTGGGAGAGGGAGGGAGCATGAGCAGAGCCCATTTTAGTGTCTTTATAGGACAGACAGCGAGCTCAGTGTGGCTGGAGAAACTATGCACGACATGGGGCTCTTATTCTGACTTAAAAGGGAAGCTACCAGGTTTGGGGGAATTTGTTTTATTTTGTTATTTTATGTGCATGAGTGTTTTGCCTTCAAGTATATCTGTGTACTACAAACATGGTAGTGACCGTGGAGATCAAACTAAGGTATTGGATCTGCAGCTGGAGTGATTTGTTGCAAACCTTTTTGCGGGTACTGGGAATCAAACTCAGGTCCTCTGGAAGAGCAGTCAATTTTCTTAACATCTGAGTCATCTCTCCAGCCCTTGGGTTTATTTAGGTTTGTGTGTGTGTGTGTGTGTGTGTGTGTGTGTGTGTGTGTGTGTGTGTGTGTGTTCTTAGTGATGACCAGAGCCTGGGACAAGAACTCTACTACAGAGCTGTAACCCCAGGGCTACTAAAATATCTTTAACAGAAAAATAAAATAATCTGATTTCTTTTCTTTTAGTTTTTGGGTTTTCTCAAGACAGAGTCTCTCTCTGAGTAGCTCTGGCTATCCTGGACTCTTTAGACCAGGCTGGACTCACTCACAGAGATGCAAATGCCTCTGCCTTGAGTGCTAGGATCAAAGGTGTAACACCACACTCAGCTCAACAATATGATATTTTAATTTTTTGATTTACTTACTATTTGTTTGTTGTTGCTATTGTTGAGACAGTTTTATGTAGCCCAGGTTGGCCTCAAAATTGCTATGTAGCCTCCACGACCCTGCTAAGCAGTGTATAAGTGTATACTCTGACTGGTCTCCACAATTGTTAAGTGCCCATTAAACTAATACCACAATCAAAATAAGAAACATCCATCAAGCCTGGTGATGGTGCCTCCAAAGTTACAGAGAAACCCTGCCTCAAGAAAACAAACAAACAAATATCCATTAAAACATTGTTCTAGCCGGGCGTTGGTGGCGCACGCCTTTAATCCCAGCACTCAGGAGGCAGAGGCAGGCGGATTTCTGTGAGTTCGAGGCCAGCGTGGCCTACAGAGTGAGTTCCAGGACAGTCTCCAAAACAATACAGAGAAACCCTGTCTTGAAAAAAACAAAAACAAACAAACAAAAACCGTTGCGTTGTCTAACCTATGGTCAGAATCAGTTTTCCATGTTGTGGGAAGGGACTGAAGAGGGAGCAATGGCGGACAGGAAGCAGTCAAGACCTGCAATGCCTTGGTAGTGATGACAGTAGCTTGGGCCAGGGAGGTAAACCATAGCTATAATTAGTTAATTAACAAGCCATTAATACTTCCTTGATCGTTATATACTCCATTCCATTCTGAAGAGTAATTTTATTCCATTCATGGGGTAACACACGCACTCTCTCTCCATTCTGAAGAGTAATTTTATTCCATTCATGGGGTAACGCGCACGCGCACACACACACACACACACACACACACGCACGCACGCACGCACACACTCTCTCCATTCTGTCGGGTACCTGTGGCCATCAATCTAACCATCCACCCCTTTTGGACCCCATTCCTTCATTGCCACTCCTTCTGTTTTCCTGGTCGTTCCCCTCCACGCTACCTTTCTATCCCACTTCAATCACACTTGTATCCCCTCATCCATGTGACAATCCGTGTGACGACAATCCGTGTGCCCACACGGAGCTCCATCTCTTCCAGAAAGCCTTTCAATGTTCCGGTGGTTCCTCCGCTCTGGCTCCATCCTCCAATTGTAATTGGTGCTAATAACGCTTCAGAGTAAATGTACTTTCTTTTTAATTTCGACATTAGAACTCAGTGATAACAATGTGCCAGTCCCGGGGACCCCTGCGTCCTCCCCCGGTGCGGGCCTGGGCCTATGCTACCGCAGGCACTCGCTGCCCAAGTATCTTCGCTGTCAGTCCTCCCCTCCTCCTTCGGCATCTGCTCTGCATTAGTCTACCCCAGGCCTCCGCAGGCGCCGATGATTAAATCATCATCATTAACCGGGGCCCATTCCCCCCCCCCACACCCCCGGCAGCAGGGAGAGTGGGGGGTAAGATCGTCACGTTCCCGGAGGGTCTCTCCCTTCCCACCCCGCCCAAGGCACCCTCTCCGAGACTTCACGAAGCCGGGAGAAACTCCCGCGGCGGAGCCGGGAGAAGGCCAGCCACCCGGACGCAGCTCCGCAGCGCGCACGCCGCAGCCGAGCAGGGCCGCCCTGCAGGGTGAGAACCCGGGGTCGGAGGCGAGGTCGCGTCCCGGGTCTCCCACTCTGCGGAGCAGCAGCGGGCGGCGATCGCCCGGCCCCGGGGTCGGAGGGCACAGGCTATCTATCCATCACAAACTCCTCAAGTTGGTCCAGAGGCCGGCTGCGCGCTGAGGGAAGTACGCCCCTGGGGGCGTGCAATGCCGGGACTCGGCCCCACAGCCCCCCCAACTCACTAACGACCACGGGGATGGGGGGGCCAGGGGGCTCAGGTGAGCACACGGGGAGAGAGAGAGAGAAGGGGTGAGGGCGGGGTGTGCCGGAACATAGCCAATCCGGAGAAGTTGAGGCCCGCGTTGCTATGAGACAAGTCCCGCCCCGCAGGCGGTACCGGAAGTGGCGGGCTGGGATCAGCCTTTAAGATGGCGTCTCCTCAGGGGGGCCAGATTGCGATCGCGATGAGGCTTCGGAACCAGCTCCAGTCAGTGTACAAGATGGACCCGCTACGGAATGAGGTGCAGGGGCGGCAGGGTGACTGCTGGGGTCCGTTAGCTGTGCGAACCCAAGCGGGCGAGAGGACGGGCGGTGGCGGGACCGGGGCCCAGTGCGCCTGCGCAGCAGTGGGGTGCGCAGGACGCACGCGCGATTCCGACAGGGTTGCCAAACGCTGGACAAGGACGCCTGCGCGTTGTGTCACTGACGGCGTTTGGTCTCCCTAGGGAAAGGAGGGTCAGGCGAGTCCGCGAGAAGAGAGCACCCGCTGTGCGCGGAGCCCTCTGCTGGGCGGAGGGGGAGCGCATCTCCCACCCCCCTCCCACGGGCCTGACGGCCGAGCCCAGTGACAGGAACGGCTCTGGAGCTGGGAAGTGCAGAGGTGAGGCGGGGAGGGCTTGCGGAGACCGGCGCGGAGTGACTGAGGGTGTGTCCGCAGGAGGAGGTCCGGGTGAAGATCAAAGACCTGAATGAACACATTGTTTGCTGCCTGTGCGCCGGCTACTTCGTGGATGCCACCACCATCACAGAGTGTCTCCACACCTGTGAGTGTCCCGGATCCTGCCCTGTCCTCTTCAAGCTGGCTGCAAGCCTCTCCGCTGTCTGTCCCACTCGCCCTAAGTGTCTGGGGTCCCAGAGGGCCTGAGTGTCTTCGTCTCTCCTCTTGCAGTCTGCAAAAGTTGTATTGTGAAGTACCTGCAGACCAGCAAGTACTGCCCCATGTGCAACATCAAGATTCACGAGACGCAGCCGCTGCTCAACCTCAAGCTGGATCGGGTCATGCAGGACATAGTGTATAAGCTAGTACCAGGCTTGCAAGACAGTGAGTGGCCACCTTGTGTTTGTAGGGCCTCCTGACTCTCATGCTGGGTGGCAGCTTGAAGTGAACAGCAGCTTTGTTGGGCATCATCTAGATAAAGAGGTCAACAGCCAGGACAAAGGGAATTAATATGGCCGCCCTTCACCCCTTCCTAGGTGAAGAGAAACGGATTCGGGAATTCTATCAGTCCCGAGGCTTGGACAGAGTCACCCAGCCCAGTGGGGAAGGTATGTCCTTGGTGGTCATTTGGGGGAGGGGGACCAATAAAACCCTCAGAGCATTTCTTCTGCCCAGTTTTGCTCTCTGGGGAAGATGGGGTGTGGAACCCCAACCTTCTCAGTGTCTGCTTTTCCTCAGAGCCAGCCCTGAGCAACCTTGGCCTCCCTTTCAGCAGCTTTGACCACTCCAAAGCCCACTATTACCGCTATGATGAGCAGCTGAGCCTATGCCTGGAGCGGCTGAGGTGAGGGGCAGGTCAGAGGCTGCGTGAAGTGATACTGTTGGTGACCCAGAATCAGCTCAGGGCTTAGGGAAAGGCCAAGGGATGAGGGAGTATCTGTTCCCTTGAAGAGAGTATATTATGGATCTAGGTGTGAGAGAGGAAATGTGGAACCCTCTAACTGGTTTTTGTTTCCATCCAGTTCTGGCAAAGACAAGAATAAAAATGTCCTTCAGGTGAGAGGGGCTGAAGTGGGGGGCCTTTCTGAAGGAGAACTTCTCCCAGCAACCCTTCCCTCACACACCTGTCCTCTTCCTCCCTTCCCTGCTCCTAGAACAAATATGTCCGATGCTCTGTTAGAGCTGAGGTACGCCATCTCCGGAGGGTTCTGTGTCACCGCCTAATGCTAAATCCGCAACATGTAAGTAAGCCCACTGTGTTATATGAAGGACAGAGACTGAAAGGGGAGGGATGTGTCTGGACTGAAACTAGAAGATTACCTCAAGTTCAAGGTTAGCCTAAACTATATTGTGAATTCTAGGCCAGTGGGAAAGGGGTCTAGTGAGGCAGCTTAGTGGGTAAAGTGCTTGCTTTGCAAGCACCAGGACCAGAGTTCAATCCCCAGACCGGAACCAAAACCAAAACCAACCTAGTGAGGTAGTGCAAACTTGTATTCCCAGCACGGGGGCTGCGGCTAGCCTGCCCTACTTGATGCGTTCCAGGCCAGAGAGAGAGCCTGTCTCAGAAAAGAAAAAAGGTGGATGGAGCCTGAGGAGTAACAGCCAGAGTTGTTCAGACATAAGCACACACAAGGGACAGAGTCCAGGGAACAGCCTCTGCCCCATCTCCCTCTTAGGTACAGCTCCTTTTTGACAATGAGGTTCTCCCTGATCACATGACAATGAAGCAGCTATGGCTGTCCCGATGGTTCGGCAAGGTAAGCCAGGTGCCATGGGCTGAGGGCCCCCGATGCTAACAGCCCGCTCATTTCTTCTTTCCCTTCTCTCCTCAGCCATCCCCTTTGCTTTTACAATACAGTGTGAAAGAGAAGAGGAGGTAGGGGCCAGCCAGGCTTGCCTCCACCCCCTTCCCACCCCTCCCCAGATATTTATGTAAAATTAACTGTGGCTTTATTTTTTGAAATAAAAGCTTTTAAAAAGCATTTTCCATCTTCCTTCTTAACCAGTCAACTACACACTCAGGCTTTGGCCTGTGTCCCGGTTCCTCCGCAGTCTCCCCAGTCTCACTGGGAGGGCCTCCTTTACCTACCAAATGTCCTCAGTGACTTGCAGAAGGAGAGGGGTAGGAGACCCACGGTGAATTGGAACCTGGCCTTTTTGGTGAGGGAAGGCCGTCTAGAGGGCAGCTCTTGCTGTCCTTCTGTGCTGCAATATATGGTACCAGCCTCGGAGGAAATGTTACACACACATCCTGTGAAGACAGGAGGCATGTGGCCACTCCAGGGCTGAAGAGGAGGAAGAGTAATATTTAAGGAGAAATCCAAACAATTGCATCTGGTTCTGTAGCCTGGGAAATAGAGACAAGAAAGAAGACCCCACAAATGGCACCTAGCGGGGCAGATCCGAGCCCAGGCCAGCTGTCCACAGCGGCAGCTAGCCTTAGGCATGGGGAGTCTGTGCAGCTGAGATGGGGAGGGGTAGTTGAGGAGGAGCCTAGTAGAAGACACCAAGAGGAGCTCTAGGGGGAAGGAGCTTCAAAAGAGGGGCGTGGTCAGGCAAGGGCACAGCTTGTCTCTAAAAGCCCACCACTGTACACGCTGGGCTCTGGCCGTGATCCCAGCCAGTGCCCTGGTTCTAGGGATAGCAATGTGGGAGAGTCAGTAAGTATCCCCTCACCCAAAGGAAGAAAAACCAACAAACAAAACCAAGCCTGCGTCTGGAGCTTTTCCACTTTCATTATATTGTCTGGAAACCTTACTAAGTCACTTGGGACATGTGGAGAATTTAAGCCTAAGGCAAAAGTGTTTTAGAAGATGAGATCTCGTGACTCTTGTTTATAAATTCCAGCATGAGGGAAGCTGAGGCAGGAGTATTACCAGCAGCTCTGGGCTAGCCTGGATGGAGTACAAAGTGAGTGCGTCTCTAACAGTGAAAAGTGCTTCAGTGTCTGAGGCAGATGACGGATCTGGGTGGGAAATGTATCCATGCCTCATTCTTATAAAGCTGGGGTATGTGTGGGGAGGGGCGGTTGACAGCCTCATCTCCTCCAGGGGTCCCCTTCCCCATGCAGAACAGCTGTTCCCAGAAGCTGACCTCAACAGAGCGCATGATGGGTTAAATATCCCAATAGTGTTTGTTCCCCTGTTGCCTTCCGAATCTGAAGTCTGCGAGCACGCGGCACCCAGGGTGTTTTCAAGAGACTTGAAACTTGTATGGCCAGCCCAAGTTTCTTATGGAGGGATGGGCAGGAGCGAGGAGGAGCGCTAAGCGCAGCACTTGTGGAGTTACTGAAGTCTGTGTGTGTCGTGCGCCGCCCCCCCTGCTCCGCCCGCATGCTGCGAAGGTGCTTGCTCTTGGACATGGCTGCAGTTCAGCAACAAAAAAGAAATGAGAGGAACTGGGGTTGAATATGATCAAAAATTTAAAGCATATTTTTAAAAAATAAAATTAAAAACGTCAGAGAACAACTTGTATCCGCGAAACCCCTGTGCACCGCTGCGCCCCCCCTCCCCGCCCCGCAAGCTAAATAAATGTTACGTTTTAATTAAGTCGGGTCTGAAGACTAGGGTCCTATCTCAGGAATCTTAAGCACCCACGCTTGGAGATGTGCCCTTTGCTTTGAGGCTCGGGATGGCTGAAGGTGCTAAGGTTTGGATCTGACGGGAACCATGCATGGTTGCCGCGACCTTCTCCTGTCAGCGCAGTGGCAGCGAGGGCGGCGGCCGCCAGCTACGGTGCGGATCTTCGGTGGTTGCCGATGCTGTGCAGCTGCAGACTCCCTTTCCTTTTCCCACCCTGACCCCAAGGCCACTTGCATCTCATATTGGGATTTCACGCGGATGCTTCTGGGGGAGGGGGGGTGCAGAACTCAATGGAACTCATCACCAGAACCCAGTGATCTGGTCACCACGTAGATACACAATCTGACAAAGAAAACCGCCCCAAGCTGAGTGCAAGTGGCTCTGAGGTTCAGCTAAGAGGACTGCTGGGAGTTCTAGGCCACCCTGGGCTACACGAGTTTGATCCCATCTAAAAGAGAAACAGCCAGGGGGTGATAGCTCACACCTTTGATCCAAGTACTTGGGAGTCACACGCCTTTAATCCCAGCACAGGAAGGTGGAGACAGGAAGGGATGTAGCTGGGAGGGGAGAGGAAAATGAGGTAGGAGGAGACAGGAGCTCAGCACATTCAGTCTGAGGATTCCTGGAGACAGGATCTTGCCCCCTTCAGTCTCTCTAGAGGCTGGCCCCTTCTTTGATCTTCAGGCAAGCTTTATTTGTTAGGTCACAAACAAAGTCTCACCACAGGTCAAAACAACTGGCCATCAGCAGGAGAAAGTATAAGAGATAGCAGATCCGCTTGCTCCCCTCAAGCCCAGAACCCAGGTTTAATCTGTTACTACCCCTCATTAATCACTCACCCTCCTCCAGTCCCCTTCTGTGGATCCGGTTTCTCCCCAGCTCATGTTCCAGATGCTTAGCCAGGAGAAGCCCCCTCAATGGCCCCAGGATCGTCTGGACTAGTCCCTAGACATTGGGATGTCCTTAGTGTCTGATGTTGGGACATCTTCCCTTTAACCTCTCCACTTCTCCTTCCTCCCCCAAACTTGTGTCTGAGGACAGTCCCATCCATTACCTGAACCCATCTGCTGAAGGGGGTGTCCAGGAGAGGAAAGCCAAGCCCCTCGGGAGAGCCCCACACTACACACACACACACACACACACACACACACACACACACACACACACACACACACAGGAGTAATTGAGAGCAGGGGTAAAAGGGACATAAAAGCCACATAATGGATGTGTGAGGAGAGCTTGCAGTGTCTTTTGGGTGACAGGATTGGGATGGAGTAGGGCAGTTCCTTCTGCCTCCTGGGATCTGCTTTAATTGCAGATTAAGTGAAACCACAAGGATTGTTCCGAGGACTGAGGCCTGCAGCAGAGACTCTCTACTGCCCTTCCCTACTCCCCCCTCCATTAATAACCAATTAACAAGGTTCTGAAGCAGCTCAGCTTTCCACTGTGGCCTGGCTCTGCTCTCTGACCCTGCAGTGGCTCATTGAGCTTCAAGAGCATCTCCAGGCTTCCAGGAGGGTCTGGATGCCTGAAGGCTGAGGGTATCATCAGAGGGAACTGTTTACTATCCTGCTATCAAGGGGAGTGTCCTATTGTCAAGGAGCCTTTGACTCAGGTTCCCAGGATCTCCTAAATCCTATTTGGGGCACCCCCAACTCTAAGTTACACTTGCCCCAAGGAAGACACTGAAAAATATGGGAGACACAGAGGCCTACAGGAAAGGTGACATGGGAAATAGTCTGGGAGGGGGAACTGTCCTGGATTTTCATTTAGCTGTCAACAAAACAAAACAAACATAAATAGAATGCTAGTCTTGGCTCAGCACAGTAGCTCACTCCACAGAAGACTAAGTCAGGATGATTACTTTTGAATCTGAGCACCTTTAGTCCCAGATAAGTTGGACACCAGCCTAGTCTACATAGTAAACTCCAGGACAGCCAGGGTTATACAGTGAGATCCTGACTCAAAATAATAGTAATAGCAAATAACAACTTAAAAAGAATATTGGCATACCCTTTGGGAGTAGCTGAGTGTCTATGCTCATAAGCTGTAAAGCCTCCAGCTATTTGAGGTGGATACAGTAGAAAAAGAATCCAAGTCTGTGCAGCCTCACTGACCCAGAGCTGCCTTATTTCAACTCCAGCTGACCATGAAGCTGTAACTCAGGTAAGAATAAATGTGGGAGAAAGGGACACAGAATACAAAAAGCAACAAACAGATCAGGCCTCGGAGTTTGAGTCTAAGTAGCCAGTGACGCCTGTCACATGACCTGACTGGGTCTAGGTCGCAGTGAGGTCTGCTCTGCAATTAGTCTTCCTGGAGAGTGACCCCACAGGGAAACCACACCTGAACTATGAGAGCTTAATAAAATGATAAAGGCAGACCTGGTAAGCCAGGAGGAACAGATCCTCTGTGGAGACCAGCCCTGGGAGCAAGGGACTGAGCAGTCATGCCAGCCTAGGTCTCCGGAAGCTTTTTTGTTTTTGGTGTTTTAACGTATTGGGACCTCTAGGCTACAGCATGGGAGACTCCACCTGCCCGGTTCCATATGATATCTTTTAATGACAGTCGCTGCTCTAGGCCAGGTTTTCACAAGTCTTGACCCGAATCCCCACACTGCACAACCATTTCCAGCTGCCATGTTCTCTTAAGACCTTTTCTCAGGTCGGTGGGGGAAGATTTGGTCAAGTTAAAATACTGAAGATTCTAAGGGTCTCAGGATCCTAACACAATCAGCCCTGATCCTGTTTCTAAGAACTCAGCGAATCCCCAGCCCTTAGGGTCAGGGAAAGCAATTTTATTGCCCAGGAGTTTATGAGCCAGAGCATATGTGGGGAACCAAGCAGCAAGCAGGACTCAGTAAAGTAAAGCCCAGTTTGAATGTGCACAGAACTATACCCCAAAGCCAGAAGTCACCGGCTTCTCTCCACCCTATAGAAGAAATAAGGCTGCCAGGACACCTACAGACTCCAGACTCACTACGGCCCTTGGAGGGAGGTGGGGGTGCAGAAGGAGGGGACATGGGGCTCCAACCCAGCTCTAGGGGGCGGGTCGGAGGCAGGGGGGCCAGATCGGAAGCTGAGCGCTGGGGGCCGAGGAGATTGTGGAGCCAAGAGCAGCAGAAGGCGGGATCATTACAACCCGGCTTGCCATGAACTCTGGACGCCAGCGCCGGACACCCTTCAGCATCGCAGACATCCTAGGCCCAAGCATGGTCCCCCGAGCGCCTTCTGTGCCACAGCTTCCCGAGGCCAGTCCTGATCCCGCGTCGCCACTGTTTGCGCTGGAGGAGCTGACTAGTAAAACGTTCCTGGGCCGAGCCCCGCGCACTCTGCAGCTTTCTGAAGGTACAACGCCTGCAAGGTCGTGGACTTGAATTAGTTCTCTCTCCCTCTCTCTGTGTCTGTCTGTCTGCCTGTCTGTCTCTGTCTGTCTGTGCATGTGTGTCACTCCCTCTGTTCTCTCTCGGTCTCTGTCTTTCTGTCTCTCTGTCTGTCTCTGTGTCTCTGTCTCTGTGTCTCTCTCTGTGTCTCTGTCTCTCTGTCTCTGTCTCTCTGTCTCTGTTCTCTGTCTCTGTCTCTGTCTCTGTCTCTCTCTCTCTCTCTCTCTCTCTCTCTCTCTCTCTCTCTCTCTCTCTCTCTCTCTCTCTCTCTCTCTCTCTCATCCATCATCAGTCACGAAGTTTGGTTCAGCCCTGGCCATTTTTACCCAGCCCTTTGCCCAGGTGTCAGGAGTTGCATCTCAGGTCCTGCAAGTCTCCAGCGTTAGTTCCCAGACCCTGCAGCTGCTCCAGGGGGGTCGCCAGCACCCCGGGGGTACTGCCAGGCAGGAAAGAATCTAGGGACTGGCTGGGCTAGTGGTGTTCCTTTGCTGTATGCGGAACAATCGCGACCGAGAAAGGCCGCGGAGGAGACAAAAGACTTAAGCTGTACGCAAGAAAAGAGTAAAACAGGGAGGGCTAGGATGAGGCAGAAAGCTCCGGAGACCTCCCGACCACCCAGCCCCAGCCCCAGCCCCAGCCCCAGCCCCAGCCCAGCCCCAACCCAGACCCAGCCCTAGCCCCAGACCCAGACCCAGACCCAGACCCAGACCCAGACCCAGACCCAGACCCAGACCCAGACCCAGACCCTGCGGTCACTTCTGGAGCCCCTGCAAGAAGGTCCTTGCAGCTGCGTTGGGCATACGAACCGCCCCTCTGCCTACCTCCCCTCCCCATGCTTCCACTGTGTCCCCTTTTGGATCCCGGAGAGGGAGATGGTGTTTTTAAGGACACATAAACAGAGGGCTTTATATGGCCACCAGGCCGGTTGGGTCACCCGACCTCAATCTAGCCTCTAACCTACTACCACGCAAAGGCGTCAGAGGATCTTCTCCAAACGGCCTTGACCACTGCACCAGATCTCCTCTGGTCAGTTCACCCCACTCCCCTGCATGAGCAATCTCATCTCTCCGTGGCCAGCACTTCAGAGGCCTGCTGCTCTTCGAATCCCTGGCCTGACCCGGTTTAGGGATCCAGATGCTGGTCCTCCCGCACACACCTGTTTGAGCTCTGCGACCCTAGCCTTTCCACCCAGACCACAGCTCCTCCAATGCTGGAGACTGACATTTCCGTCCCATCCCGGCAGGCAGAATCGCCCCAGAGGAGCCGCCAGGTCCCGGCTCAGGCGCCGGTGTCCGGAGACGCCGCAAGTCGCGTACAGCGTTCACTGCACAGCAGGTGCTGGAGCTAGAGCGGCGATTCGTCTTCCAGAAGTACTTGGCACCATCAGAGCGCGACGGGCTGGCTGCGCAACTGGGCCTGGCCAACGCGCAAGTGGTCACTTGGTTCCAGAACCGTCGCGCCAAACTCAAGCGGGATGTGGAGGAGATGCGCGCGGACGTGGCCTCTCTGTGTGCGTTGTCTCCGGGAGTCCTGTGCCACCTGGCACTGCCAGACAGTGCTTCAAGCCCTGACCCTGGCCCTACAGGGCCTGATTCTGAGCCCCGCTTATCGGATGAAGAGATACAGGTGGACGATTGAAAGCAAAACCTCTGCCAGCCCTGGGTTACAGGGCCCTGGACTCCTCACCTCTGCTAGGGGGCCTCATCTGGGTTCCCGGGTGGAGGGGAGAGACCCATTTAGCCCTGACCTGTTCCTCAGCCCACACTCCTACTTTTTTTTTATTCGTTGAGAATAAAACCGCTGCTCTGCTTCAAGGTGCCTCAATCCTGGATGCCCGTAGCCCAAACCAACGCAATCTGCTACTCACTGGGAAATTGGTTCTGCTGCTTTGCGGCTCCTTTAAAACATGGTGCTTCTTTTAGCCCGGGTAGCAGCCCTAAAAGGTAGGTGTCTGGCTATGCTCATTTTCCAAAAGAAGTTTGCCAGGATTTGGAAGCAAGCATCAGCTACCCTTCGGAGAACTGGCTGTCTTTCCTCTCTGGAGACACTGGATGGAGAGGAAGTGGGCAGGATCTAGCGGTGACTTCCAGCTACTACCCTCTACTGGCCACCTTTGTTCCCAGTTCTCTGTCCGCAAACCTGGAGACCTCAACACTAAACTTTAAGCTGTCCCTATGTGATAACGTGATTCTTTCCTTTCCCTGCTCTTCATCAAGGTTTACTAGGTTCCCTGCATTAAACGCTCCACACTAAGCCTAGTGTGGGTGCACACCCATGATTCCAGAGCTTGGGAGGTGGAAGCAGGAGGATCAAGAGTTCTAGGTCAGCCTGGGCTACAGCACACACACACACACACACACACACACACACACACACACACACACACACACGCCAATAAACAAAGAACCCTGTGATGGGACATAGTGAGGAACCAATGTCTGGAGAGAGGGCACACCCACTTCTACCTCTGGGACCCCTGTCCAGGTATGGGGGTATGGGGGCAGGGCACACCTGACTCATGAGAGGAGCTCAAAGTATCTGTCACAAGTGGGGTCTTAGCCTGAACCCACTGCCTGACATTCATTTCTGCTGGTCATTGACTGCCCCCTGCAAAGGCACTGGGGAGGGGCAGGGAGCACTGAGGAGTTACAGGCCCACCCTGCCAGTCTTTAGGAGACCACCACACAGCCAGGGCCTCAGCTGCAGGTGGAGGGCCAAGAATAGGAAATTCCAGGGAGGATGAATAAGACTGGAAGGCAGGCGAGATCCTGGTGTCTTCACACAAGAACGAATGCTTTGTGTGAATTAATTAACACAGCAGCCCAAACGACAGGCTTTTAGTCTGGTGCTAGGGAAGACCATGGGCACTGCCCTTGCTTTTCTGACACAAGTTTTTGTTTTGTTTTGTTTTTGAGACAAGGATTCTTCTCTGTGTAGCCTTGGCTGTCCTGGAACACACTCTGTAGACCAGGCTGACCTTGAACTCACAGAGATCTGCCTGCCTCTGCCCCTGAAGTGCTAGGATTAAGGGTGTGTGCCACCACACTGAGCACACTTAAAAAAAAGATTATTTTATTTTCATCTTACATATATGAGTGTTCTGTTTGCATACACACATATATACATGTATATATGTATGTGTGTCTGCCCGGTGCCCACACTGCCAGAGAAGGGTGTTGGATCCCCTGGGATTGGAGTTAAAATCACTGTGAGCCGCCCCATGTACCCACATCAGCTGGGAGCTGAACTTAGGTCCTCTGCAAGAACAGAAAGTGCCACTTCTCCAGCCCTGACTTGTTGTTTATCCCCAACCCCACCCCCCCACCCCCACCCCCCACCCCCGGGGCACTAGGCCTGGCAGAGGTGACTAAGAAGCAAAAGATGCTTAGGGCTAGAGGTAGGAAAACCCAGAAGGAACTGTGCTGTAAACAAGGCATTGCCTTCAAGGCTTTCGGGAAGCCAATCAGAAAACCGCGGCTTAGCGGCTTAGCGTAGGCTGATACGGTGATATGCAAGAGACTGGCAGAGGTCTTTGGCCCTGCAATGGGTAGCAGCAGAGAATGCACAGCTGGGCTGGGACATGTGGGGGCAGTCACAGGAGGGAGTACATGTGATTCTCCTAGTGACTGGGACTACATGATTGACAGCTCATACGCTCAACAACCGGAAGGAAATGGCACTGGACAGAAACTGTGACCACTGATATATGAAGTATCAAGGAGGACCTTGAACTCCTGACCCTTCCACTTCCTCTTCCAGTGTGTGTGTTGGAATGACAGGCGTGTGTCCCCCACTTCCCATTCTATTCTCTAATCAGGGTAACATTTTCTTTGTTTGCGGGAGACCAGCTAAGAGCGTCTCCTCCCCTTTATCATCCTTGCAGTCTGATGAGACTCTGAATTCGTTCCATGGCCCTTACTGGTTCATTTCCCGGTGTGCTGAACTCTGGGAATACCAGTTCGGTTTCTCTACTTTCCCTCTGAACTCCCCTTATCTTTGTTTCTCACTGATTGCTTTTTTTCCCTGATGGCTTCTTTGACTTCTTTTGACTCCATGTTTTCTTGACTTTCCTTAGATGGAAGTGGAACCCTGGGTGTGGTGGCGCAAGCCTTTAATCCCAGTACTCAGGAGGCAGAGGCAGGTAGATCTCTGTGAGTTCGAGGCCAGCCTGGAACAGAGTGAGTTCCAAGACAGTCTCCAAAACAATACAGAGAAACTCTGTCTCGAAAAAAAAGTGTCAAGCAATAGAGGAAGACACCTGGTATACTCTTCTGGCCTCTACAAGTATGTGTGTGGGTAAAACGCACATCTATCTCATATGTGCACCACACACACACACACACTCAAAGAATGTGAACAGTGATTCCCTAGAAGACTTCTTGAACACCCATTGCTGTGAGCTCAATGCTCTATAGCCTGAGTGAAATTCCCAGCCTGATGCAGGCAAGGGTTTGCCTCTATCAGTTTCCTGGGTGATGTTGATGGTACTGGTCTCTATCAGTTTCCTGGGTGATGTTGATGGTATTGGTCTCCTCCACACAAGGAGATCCAGAATCCCAGGAATTCTGGACTTTAATAATTTTAAAAGCCATGTCTTCACACACCTCTTTCCACCTAGGAGTCACAAATACACAGGACAGGTGCAGGCAAAAATCAGTTCATTTAACAACCTGGATGGATAGTCAGCTAACTACTCTGTGAGGCAGGGACTGTCTTTATTGTGTAAATGAAGGGACTGAGCTTAAATGCTGAGAGACCAGCCACAGGGCCACAGCTAACCACTGCTGACTTTATCCTGCTTCAGCTGTTGTAAGGTACTAAATCATAAACTAAAAAGAAATTGTCCAAGGCCTATAGAAAAGAGATGTTTCAACAACTAGAAAAGGGAAGAGGTTGGAGACTTGGTTTGGTGGCAGATAGCTGGCTCTATCCCCGCAATGGAGGGGTGTGGAGGGAGAGGAGGAGGGGTGTGGAGGGAGAGGAGGAGGGGTGTGGAGGGAGAGGAGGAGGGGTGTGGAGGGAGAGGAGGAGGGGTGTGGAGGGAGGAGGGAGACGCCAACTGCAGCCTCGGGGAGTGCGGAGCCGCGCTAAGAAGGGACTTTTCAAATGCAAAGCCTTGAAGAGCTGGTCTTTCAGCAGTGGGAGGAGGTGGGGATTTGATCATTGAACGAGAGAGAGAGAGGGGGGGGGGAAGGGATTACCAGAGGCTAGGAGCAAGCAGAATTGTATCTAGAGCAGACAGGGCAGGGACTGAGATGGGGAAGGTGAGCATTCATCAAGCCAAAGGGTGGGACTTAGCTATTACCCACCACTGGGACCCTGCTCCTGAGTATAGGGCTCTAACTGACCTGTGAGTCCCCTAGGACTAAAAAGTAGGACAAACTCCATGGTCTCCTCTCTGGCTCTACTGTAGTCTCAAAGCCTGAACTTCTGGAGAGTCCCTGATATGAGCCTTGGTGGACTCCTCAGGATATGTGCTTTTCTCTCTCTCTCTCTCTCCTTTCCAAAGGAGAAATGACTCAGTGATTAAGACAGCTGGATGCTCTTACAGAGAACCTGGGGTTAATTCCCAGTACCCACATAATGGCTCACAACCATCTGTAACTCCAGTTCCAGAGGATTCCATGTCCTATTCTGGACTCCACAGGCACTGTATATACAACTGGTATACAGACCCATATGCAGGCAAAACACTCTTACACATTAAAAAAAAGTATTTTGGCCTGGCGTTGGTGGTGCACGCCTTTAATGCCAACACTTAAGAGGCAGAGGCAAGCAGATCTCTGTGAGTTTAAGTCAGTCTGGTCTATGTAGTGAGTTTCAGGACAGTCAGAGCTACATAGTGAGACCCTGTTTTGAAAACGAAACAAACAAAAAATATGTTTATTGTACTAAGTACAGTGATATACACCTTTAATCTCGGCACTCAGGAGGAAAAGTTAAATTCTAACCGGTCTACATAGTGAGTCCAGGGTCAGCCAAAGTGACATAATGAATGTGTGCCTCGGTGTGTGTATGTGTGTGTGTGTGTGTGTGTGTGTGTGTGTGTGCATGTAGATGGGATGAGGGGAGGACATGGGACATGTGTAGAGGTCAGAAGTCAGCCATGTGGGTTCCAGGGATCAAACTCAGGATTTCAGTGAGCCATCTCCACAGTCTTTATTCTTGTGGCATTGCAGTGAGGATGAAGTTGTTTGTACTTAATTACATGGAGTGTGGCAAGCCACGTTCTGAATGTACTAACTCATCCACTCCCTATGACTCCATAATATAGGATGTGTGAGTATCTTCATTTAAACATTTTTT